TGCGTATGTGCAGAAGTGCTGAGTGGCAACCCGCGCGTGCGCAGACGCGGTGCTGTGGGTTTGCAAACACTGCAGGTTGTGAATGTCCTCCCGCACAGATCACATTCGCAACCCAAGCGTCCACTGTACCTTGGTTTATGAACTTAATCTGTTCCGGAAGTCCATTCTTAAATCAAAGCGTTCTTAAACCAAGTTGTGCTTTCCCATAGCAGCAGGAGAATCAATTTACAAATGGAACACACTCAACATGTTCACAAAGTTCACAAACCAAAACACCTCATTCCGGGTTTGCAGCGTTCTTAATCCAAGTTGTTCATAAACTAAGCTGTTCTTAAACCAAGGAACCACTGTATACAGAATTAGCTCTAAGAAAGAGGTTTCGGGATGCTTATGGCAAAAAGTTTTTGTTCTTGCTATAGGTTTTTAGTTGTTTTACTGATTTTGATCTCTTATTTTTAGCCCTAGCTCACATGTTGCTCTCAGGGGGTCACAAATGACCCCGCTGCTGTTTGTGCTTGCTGAAATCCCATAGCTTTTTATACCACAAATGTTCTAGATTGTTTTTGTCCTGCTTTTGTTGTGCCTGAGGCCCTCTGGACAGCAGTAATGTGGCGCTGTTGCAAGAAACTTGCTTGAACCCTCCTGCATGTCCAACACCTGTGTACTCCCTGCTCATCGTCCCAAGAGAATCGTAGAGTTGGAAGGGACCCCGAGGGTCATTTAGTCCAACCCCTCTCCAAGAAAGGAGAGTCCACTATTGACATTTCCATTCCACCTTAAGGAACAGGCATGAGATTGTTGCATGTCACATGTCTGTTTACACTCCAGCACAGCATGCTGGGAACTTCCATTTGTGTATAGCTTTTGCTTTTGCTTTTGAGACACGGGTGGCGCTGTGGGTTAAACCACAGAGCCTAGGACTTGCTGATCAGAAGGCTGGCGGTTCGAATCCCCGCAATGGGGTGAACTCCTGTTGCTTGGTCCCTGCTCCTCCCAACCTAGCAGTTTGAAAGCACGTCAAAGTGCAAGTAGATAAATAGGTACCACTCCAGCAGGAAGGTAAATGATGTTTCTGTGCGCTGCTCTGGTTCGCCAGAAGCGGCTTAGTCATGCTGGCCACATGACCCGGAAGCTGGACGCCGGCTCCCTCGGCCAATAAAGCGAGATGAGCGCCGCAACCCCAGAGTCGGCCACGGCTGGACCTAATGGTCAGGGGTCCCTTTACCCTTTACCTTTTACCGAGATGACATGAGAGAGAGATGACATGTTTCTTTCTTCTGGTTTATGTTTAATAAATCTGTAGCTGTAGCATGACTTCACACGTCTCACGCCTACTTCTGTGTTTGCAATACACTCTGCTAATAGCGTGCCCAGGCTTTTGAAATTTGGGTCACTGATTTACATCGGTGCATGGGCCGATGAATGGAGACGGCACAGCTGGGGTTGCCAGCTGGCCACACACCCTCTGCATGTCAACAGGTAGCTTGTTCAACTGTTGAACAACTCTTACTATCAGGAAGTTCTTCCTGATGTTTAATCAAGAATCTCCTTTCTTGTAATTTGAATCAATCAGTTCTACCCTCTAGAAGAGCAGAGATCAAGCTTCCTCCATCTTCCACGTGGCAGCCTTTCAGATATCATATCTCCTCTCAGTCTCCTCTTCTCCAAGCTAAATGCATCCAACTCCCTCATAAGGCTTAGTTTCCAGACCCTTGATCATCTTCAGGTCTGGTCCTGACTGAATGGATACTGGAATCAGCAAGGGATACCCACATGACCTGAAGGTGCTGCTCTGCAATGCCAGGTCAATGATCCATAAGACCACTGCCATCCATGACTTGAACGTGGATGGAGGACTTGACCTGGCATGTATGACAGAGACTTGGTTGGATGAAGCAGATGGGCCTGTCCTTGCCGCTGCTTGTCCACCAGGTTTCTCTTACGCACAGCAACCCAGGCCTTGTAGGCGGGGAGTGGGGTTGCAGTGATTTTTAGGAAGTCATTAGTTTGCACCAGGAAGTCATTAGTTTGCACCCAGTTTTCTGAGTGCATGTTCTGGAAGTTGGGCAATAGGGGCAGTACAGGATTCCTTTGGGTGTACTGACCTCCCCGCTGCACCAAGGATTCCCTGCCCGAGCTGCTTCAGGTCATGGCGGATGTTCTCCTGGAGACACCTAGCTTGGTTGTCCTGGGGGATTTTAACATCCATGCCGACATGACCTTACAAGGGGCCGCTTCAGTTTTTTTGCTGCTGCATCACCCTGTTGACTTATGTTCAGCTTGAGGTCCACCAAGACCCCTAGATCCTTTTCGCATGTACTGCTAGTAAGCCAGGTGTCCTCCATCTTATATTTGTGCAGCTGGTTCTTCCTGCCTAAGTGCGGAACCTTGCATTTGTCCCTATTGAAATTCATTTTGTTCTCTTGCACCCAGTTCTCCAATCTGTTAAGGCCATTTTGAATTCTGATTCTGTCTTCCGCGACCTTAGCTACCCCTCCCAGTTTGGTGTCACCTGCAAATTTGATGAGCATCCCCTCAATTCCTTCACCCGAGTCATTTACAAAGACGTTGAACAACGCCAAGTCCATTTCAGAGCCCTGCTTGTCACTTTTTTCCCAGGATGATGAAGAAGCATTCATGAGCACTCTACGGGTTCAACCAGCTACAAATCCATCTAACAGTTACTTTGTCCAGCCCACATTTTACTAGCCTCTCTGCAAGAATATCAGGGGGAAATTTGTCAAAAGCCTCAGTGAAATTTCACAAGGGACTCTGCCGAAAACCTTTCTGAAACTTTTTGCTGGAGTCAGTACGTGCCAATGTTAGTCTCATGAGAAATGACTCATTGGTGACCTGTAGGCTTCCTGAGTCATGACTCTACTTTCGGAGGAAGACTTTGTTGTCTCTGCCCAATCTTTTTTTACAGGAGGTGACAATTAAACTTTGCTGGTAACAGGCGATTTGTGCGCTGAGCTTGGCATTAAGTTCAGGGAATTTACTCATTTAAAATGAAGATGAGTACCAGGTTCAGGACAGCTCTGAATTTGCGGGATCTCTTCTTTTATCAATATATGCCAACTGCACTGATGCCATGATCTACAGCAGTAAACCATAGACACCGTTCAGATGTGCACCCATTGTGATAGTAGCATTGCAGAAGCATCGCAGAACAAACTAACGCAGAACAAATCCACCACAAATGCGCTATTATTGCGTCAATAGCATGTTGCAGAACATGTCCACAAGGACATGTCATCAAATATATGGCAGATCCTGATTTGGGATAAGGTACTGGGAGATCTTTGCCCTGGGCAGTGGTTTATATCTGCTGCGGGCATGATTCGAACACAAACCACCCTTCACCAGCTTTTGCAGCAAAACAACTGCAGTTCTTGGTGGGTTTTGAGGAAAAGCACACGGGGCATTGCCAAGCCTTCCTTTCACAGGCCGCGGTTCTCATGTGTAGCAGCTTGGTCTCCGGGATTGGCATAGGGTCGTGCTTCACCGTCGCGATGAAAATAGTCAACGGCTGGTTTCTGCAGATCAAGCTGCACTTGAGAACAGAGCTTTTAGACAAGCCTACCTGGGCAACTCAGGGACGCAGGTGGCGCTATGGGTTAAACCACAGAGCCTAGGACTTGCCGATCAGAAGGTCGGCGGTCCGAATCCCCTCGACGGGGTAAGCTCCCGTTGCTCAGTCCCTGCTCCTGTCAACCTAGCAGTTCGAAAGCACATCAAGTGCAAGCAGATAAATAGGTACCGCTCCGGCGGGAAGGTAAACAGCGTTTCCATGTGCTGCTCTGGTTTGCCAGAAGCGGCTTAGTCATGCTGGCCACATGACCCAGAAGCTGCACGCCGGCTCCCTCGGCCAGTAAAGCGAGATGAGCGCCGCAACCCCAGAGTCAGTCACGACTGGACCTAATGGTCAGGGGTCCCTTTACCTTTTTACCTGAGCATCTAGAATGCTGGTGTGTTCTTTAGTTTATTGCTGCTTTTCATTTTTTGAATGTTTTGTCTGTTTTCACTCATAATTTTATTGATTTGTCCTTTCCGTAAACTGCTTTGAGGTTGTTGTTTGCAATCAAGCAGTGCACATTTTTAATGAAATTAAAAATAAATAAAAACAGAACCCAGTAAAAAGAAAAAGAAAAGAAAAACCAGGCAAACATGACTGTCCCTTAGTTCAGTGGGGCGGGGAGGAAATCTGTCTGATCCTCTTGGTCTTCCTTGTTCTGTGAGTCCTTTTGAACTGAATCAGTGCAGGGGAAATCCCCTGCTCCATTGTGCTGGTAAATATTTACATTCCTTTTCCTCTCTCCAGCCCTCCCCTCCTGCAAGAGGCCAAATCAACTCTGGAAATCTCCAGAAAAGCCCCCGCTGTGTCAGGGCCAACAGATTGTCATGGGACAGAGGAAGCTGAGTGAGGTTTTGGCCCTGTTGGAACAGCAGGGCTCATTAACTTTGCCACAGCACCACCCGCGTCCCATATATAAAAAGACCTTAATTTATTTTTTTTACCGTATTTTTCGCCCTATAGGATGCACTTTTTCCTCTCCAAAAATGAAGGGGAAATGTGTGTGCGTCCTAGGGGGTGAATGCAGGCTTTCGCTGAAGCCTGGAGAGCGAGGGGGGTCGGTGCACACCGACCCCTCTCACTCTGCAGGCTTCAGGAAGCTATCCGCTAGCCGTGGGAGACGCAGCTCTCCCACGGCTAGCGGAGAGCTTGCCTGCACCCAGAAGCTTGGGACGCGCTGAGCTCAGCACGCCCCAAGCTTCGGGCTTCGCGCAGCCCTTCGCTAGTGAAAACAATCACTCTGCAACAGTTCTCCAACCTGCAGAACAGGAATGAGGTCCCTCTGGCCCTTTCAATGTTGACTCCAGCTGCCATCAGTCCAGCTGCCATCTGACAGGCTAGAGGGTCTTCACCCTGGCTACAGATTCCCCGGTTCAAACACTGCGTTCCAAACACGGCACGCACCTAACACAAATTCATCTCTAGGCTGTTTTGAATTGCCAGTGCGGATATTTTATTCAGGTGTTCTCCTTTAGTGGAAGGCAAGAGGAGATCAGAGAGGAGGAAGGGAAGGGGAACCAAAGGAGAAATTCATTCATCTCAAGGGCCAATTCCTTCATCCTTACAGCAAAAGCTGTTGGTCCGTGGGAGGGGATCCAGAGTCATCAGTCTGCAACAAACAGGGAGAGAGTCAGCTCAAGGGTGGGGAGAAAATTGCCTCTCACAGAGTTTCCACCTTCACTAACTTCCCTAGAGTTGCCAACTTTTCTACTAGGCCTGGTATAATTTGCACAACCTCTTGGTGTTTGCAGATCAAGCTGATGCTAGAGGCGAAAGAGCAGCTGCTGTCTCATCAGTTGGCAACCCCCTCATGGCAACCACTCATTGTTGCCTGTTCTTGCTCCTGTGCCAGAGGTAGCAGAATAATCCATAGGCAAACTATTTTTGTGGTGCACACACACACCCTTTTACCAGCCAGATAACCAGATAATAATAATAATTTTTTTATAAAAAAAAACCATATAACCAGATACTGTATCTACATTGCAAGCTGCTTTTTGAGACACAGGAACAAGGCCAGTCAAACGCTTGGCAAAACGCCCCAGATGGGCAGGATATAAATTTAAAAATTATTATTACTACTACTACTATTACCTTTCCCGCCCCGACCTGGCCACAGTGATCCATGCGACAGTCATCTCCAGGCTTGACTACTGTAATTCGCTCTACGTGGGGCTGCCCTTGAAGCTGTCCCAGAAACTCCAGCGGGTGCAGAATGCTGCATCGAGGCTCCTCACAGGGTCTCTGCCATGGGAGCATATTCACCCAGTGCTTTTCAAGCTGCACTGGCTCCCGGTGGAGTACAGGGTCAGATTTAAGGTGCTGCTTTTGACCTTTAAAGCCCTTCGCGGCCTAGGACCCTCGTACCTACGGGACCGCCTCTCCTGGTATGCCCCACGGAGAGCCTCAAGGTCCATAAATAACAACACCCTAGTGGTCCCAGGCCCTAAGGAAGTTAGATTGGCTTCAACCAGAGCCAGGGCCTTTTCAACACTGGCCCCGGCCTGGTGGAACGCTCTGCCTCATGAGACCAGGGCCCTGCAGGATCTGAGTTCTTTCCGCAGGGCCTGTAAGACAGAGTTGTTCCGCCTGGCCTTTGGCTTGGAGCCAATTTGATTCCCTCCCTCCCTCTCTTTCTTTTTTCTTTTCCTTCTCCTCCTGCAATGAGGCTACATTTTAATATTTTAATGTTCCATTATTTTAATGTTGTATTTTATTTTTGTTTTTAAGTTGTAATCATTCTTCTTGTTTTTATTATTGCTTGTAAGCCGCTCTGAGCCCGGCCTTGGCTGGGGAGGGCGGGGTATAAATTAAAAAAAAATTTATTATTATTATTATTATTATTATTATTATTATTACTACTACTACTATACCCTGTTACCTCATCCTTCCAGTCTTTTCCCTCTGACCACTCATCCCTCTGTCCCACTACCACTCCCCGGGCTCAGAGCCTCTTCCCTTGGGGGGGGGGTCACCAGCTGGTTCCCCCCACCATTCCTCTGCGTTCAAACAGTCCACGACAGCAGTTAAACTCTGAATCACTGCAGATCCTTTAGGCTGCTTCCAGCCTCCCCCCACCCCATAATAGTCTCATTTCCCCTTTATGTACTCACTGGAAACTTGCAGACGTGTCAGAGCATCTTCCCATCTTTGACCTGAGCGTCTCCCGTGCAGGGCGATAAAATAGTAGTCCCCAGCGTCGGGCAGCTGCACGCCTTGGATGACGAGGGCGCAGTCTCTCCCCAGGCTGTGGCGGTCCGTGGAGCCCCCACCCCTTGAGACCACCCTTCCGGCCTCAACCTGGAAGATCATCTGACCCTTGTCGAATCTGCTACCCCGGAACCAAAAGCAGATGGTGGGGTCCCTTATGCCCTGCACAGAAAGGGTGACGGTTTGTCCTACGCGGGGGGTCGATGGGGTGGGGACAATCTGGATGGCATCGGCCAGCTGGAGACAGGAGACTAAGGCTGCAAGACAAGAACCAAGAAGAAAGGTTATAGGAAGATTTCGGGAAGTGCAATGACGGCAGCAAGAATATTACAGTGGTGCCTCGCAAGACGAAATTAATCCGTTCCGCGAGTCTCTTCGTCTTGCGGTTTTTTCGTCTTGCGAAGCACGGCTATTAGCGGCTTAGCGGCTCTTAGCGGCTTAGCAGCTTTAAGAAAAAGGAAACAAACTCGCAAGAACTCGCAAGACGTTTCGTCTTGCGAAGCAAGCCCATAGGGAAATTCGTCTTGCGGAACAACTCAAAAAACGGAAAACCCTTTCGTCTAGCGAGTTTTTCGTCTTGCAAGGCGTTCGTCTTGCGGGGCACCACTGTATTGGCAGAAAAATGGAAGCAAGAAGAATTACCGATGAAAGAAGAATGGCAAATGAAATTAATGGGCTATGCAGAATTAGATAAATTAACAGGAAGCATTCGAAATCTGCGGGATCAGAGATTCTTAGAAGACGAGTAAATATTCCCATTCAAGTCAAGTTTATTAAATTTGTGAGGTCCATGCCTTTACACAAAATACCATAAAACATTATTAAGAGTTAAACAATAAAATTATAAAAGTAAGCTAAAATTCGTGCCATGCTGTCCCAGCAAGGAAACTACCCAATAAACCCCACCATTCAGGGAAGAAGATATAGCAACAGGTTAGGAGAGCAATGGAAGGGACCTCACCGTTTCATCCAGGAACCATACCCTAGTTTTCATAGCCTTCACCACAAAGACCGCTACCACGTGAGAAATCCGTGGATCAGCGTCCACCAGTAAAAACTTTACTTGGTCCTCAGAGTTGACTATTGATTTGGGAATAGTTTGTAGCATCGCATCCCTGAAGGCCGAATAGATGGGACAATACAACATGTAATGTGTGAGATCCTCTTTGGTTCTCATATGACAAGGACATATACGCTGCTCTACTGGGATTTTTGCATATCTGCCTGACAGATAGGCCGTAGGAATGGTTTGAAAACGGGCCATAGTAAAGGCTCTCCGAAGAGTGGGATTGATGATATTCGCCAAATAATTGGCGCAGATTTTGACTGCTTTCAGTCGGGGAAACCAGTGGGAGGACCCTAGGATCTGTATTTTTGTGATATCTAACAAAGCGTCTCTCTCCAGGATCCATTTCCGGACTTTGTCCGGGCTCCACAGTTTAAGGATATTAAACTCCGGTAGGGTGTATCTAACCAGGATCTCAGATAAGTTTTGGCACCAAGTGGTGTTCTTTTGAAAAGATACAAAAGCTTGTTTGGCCAATAAGGTGTTTGAAGTGTTTGCAAGATTGATGTAAAATCGTAGGAATCTTAAGTGGGCCCTGGCAGATACAGAGGGTAATCCAACCTCCACCCTCAAGAAAGCTGCTGGGGTTCCTTGAGGAAGGCCTAGAATCCTCTTGTTGTTTATTGCCGTAAAAAGTTTGGCCAAAAAGATGGCCCACCATTGGGCATTTGATTTAAAAACCTCAGGGGGGATCATATCCTCACCAGGAGCTTTGCCATTTTTAAAAGTTTTAATTAGCTGTAGGCACTCTGATTCCGTAACAGGATCCCAGCTAGCTAGATGCTCATTCTTCAATGGGAGGAATGGGCTCAAGTTAGCAGTATTTGAAAGTGTGTATAGCTTGAAAAAGTGTTGATACCACACATCGGATGGAATACTGCTGTTTACAATTTTTCCTTTGGATGAGACTCCTTGTGCTACTATTGCCCAAAATTTTCTATCGTCTCGCGATTTAATCGCCTTATCAAGTGCCTCCCATTGTTCCTTCCTATATAGGGATTTCTTGAGTTTTAAGATGTTTTTATAGTAAGAGCGCCATCTGTGTAAATTTACCATAGATGACAAAGTCCTCTCCTGTTTTACCTTATTTTGTTGTTTCCTAAGCAGGGATCTTAGCTTCCGGCAGTAAATATTTGAACTACAGTGTTACCTCGGGTTACATATGCTTCAGGTTACAGTTTCTTCAGGTTACAGACTCCGCTAACCCAGAAATAGTACCTCGGGTTAAGAACTTTGCTTCAAGATGAGAACAGAAATCGTGTTCTGGCAGCAGGAGGCCCCATTAGCTAAAGTGGTGCTTCAAGTTAAGAACAGTTTCAGGTTAAGAACAGACCTCCAGAACGAATTAAGTTCTTAACCCGAGGTACCACTGTATTTGAAAAGCAATTGTAATAAACAGATTACCGTACTCTAGTAGGACTGCAAGAAGTTCTGTGAGGAGGGCTATTTGAAATATTGCAAGAAAGACTAGGATGAGAATTATTAGTTAAGATAATTAAAAGTAATAGAGAAATTCAGAAATGCAGAACAAGTGATAAAGAACGGAAAATCTTCAGAAGTTGTTGGCGGAATTCTAAAATATTGTATAAGAAGTTATGTTATATGATTGTTGGAAATGATATGTTTAAAAAAACCAATAAAAATGCTTTTTTAAAAAGGAAGATTTCGGCAAGTTTTGGGTGATGATTTAATTTATATACCACTTATATACTGCTTCTAAGCAGTTTGCAGGTGTAAAAACTGACAAACGATAAAACAATTCCATCAAAAACATTTTTTTTAAAAATCCGCAATCAAAACGAGGAGCAAACAAGTCCATACCACACAGCAATTAAAAGAGCTCAAACAGAATTGTAAACTGTCATGCTTGAAGATGCTCGCTGGAGACGCTTGCTGTCTAAACAGGGGTGTATTGAGGAGCCGGCGGAATGCCAATACTGATTGGGGCCTCTCGTATTTCAGCAGGGAAATTGTTCCGCCACATCAGTGGAAATTCCAGCTTCTTCGTTACCACAAGCCGATAAACACTACCCCACCCAAGCTTCCTTCTCTCGCCCCTAACGCTGGCAGCTGCCTTTGGACAATAACCGGATCTCCAGGGATTTGCAGAGGGAGCTTTTCGGAACGCAGAGAAAAGACTTATCAATTCTAGATCCAGCCGCAAAAGGCGTGTGCTGGTGGGGATGCTAACACAACATGCTGGCTAATAACTGTTAGTAATTTACTGTTAGTAAATGCAACAACAGCTACATTATCCAGTGAGCACTGATCCATTAGTATGATCTTCACTAGTATGCATATTTCAATTATTCGCTGATGAAGACTTTATTCCGAAACAGTTGAACTATTCCGGATGCACTGTCCTTTTGAGACTTCGGAGAGACGTCTTCCTTTGAGACTTTTGTGAGACATCTTCCTTTGAGAGACGGTTTGGCGTTCCTCGCTATTCATTGGTTGTTTGAATTTCTGTTTGACTCTGATACATATAACAACTTGCAGTTACAGTGGTACCTCGGGCTAAGTACTTAATTCGTTCCGGAGGTCCGTACTTAACCTGAAACTGTTCTTAGCCTGAAGCACCACTTTGGCTAATGGGGCCTCCTGTTGCTGCCGCGCCGCTGGAGCACAATTTCTGTGCTCATCTTGAAGCAAAGTTCTTAACCTGAAGCACTATTTCTGGGATAGCGGAGTCTGTAACCTGAAGCGTATGTAACCCGAGGTACCACTGTACTTGTATATTTTGTGAGATGTGTTGTATGATATATACATCATTTTGAAGTGGCTTATTCCTATATTTTGAATGACATCGTACCGATTATATATTTACTAACAGTTATTAGCCTGCGTGTTGTGTTTGCATTTTGTCACATTTTGCAACACAGGGGTTTGTGTTTGTTCTGGTGGGAATGCTGCCAACACTATTCCCACCCTAAGCTCAGGATAAGGCAGATGTTTGTGATCCTATGATCCAAGTTAGGAGCATTTCGGACCCCAAGATTTCAGGGTCCATACCTGAGACCTAGGGGTAGCCTCTGGTGGTACGAGGGGAGACTCCCAGTGATGTCACAAGGGGAGGCCCCTGGAGACGGAGGTTAATTGGGAGAGGAGAGCAGAGGGCAGCAGACCCTGCACACTGTTTAGGCCAGGGGTCAGCAAACTTTTTCAGCAGGGGGCTGGTCCACTGTCCTTCAGACCTTGTAGGGGGCTGGACTATATTTTGAAAAAATAAATGCAATGAACGAATTCCTATGCCCCACAAATAACTTTAAATAAAAGCACACATTCTACTCATGTAAAAACACCAGGCAGGCCCCACAAATAACCCATAGATGCATTTTAAATAAAAGGACAGATTCTACTCATGTAAAAACACGCTGATTTCCGGACCATCCGTGGGCTGGATTTAGAAGGCGATTAGTTTGCCTACCCATGGTTTAGGCTACATTTTGCAGTCTGCTCCTGCCGGGCTGAAGCTTGCAAGCTTCACGCACAATCTTCTGAATGATCTTTATTTTATTTTATTTTATTGTAAGGGACTTTCACCCACCTGGAGATTCAAGCCCCTCACCTGGAGGCAACCTGGAGGAATCCAGACAAACCTGGAAGCTTGAAGTCAGAGACCTGGAGGTCTGGTGACTCTAACCTTCTCTCATTACAAGGCTTGGGAACCCTGGTCTCTTTTCCACCCTCCACCCCAGGGGCCCTTCCCACCTCTTACCTGCCAGGGTCAGAGCCCTGAGCAGAACAGCCATGATGCCTGGGTTGCCTTCTCTGTAGTGAAAATGCCTTCCAGCAGGCCGGGGGGCTTATATATTGTGCAGAGGAGGAATTTCCCCAGTGCGGGGGGACATTGCCCAAGAGAAAGGAGGATGGAATGAAAAGTTGGGCAAGATTGAGAAAGAGAGAGAGAGAGAGAGAGAGAGAGAGAGAGAGGAGAGAACTGGACGTTCTTTCAAAGGAAACTATTTCCCCATAGCGGAAAGTACAAACTGGTCACCTACTCGGCCACTCTTCTCTTCAACACCTAATTTGGCTCTTTTGAGAAAGAAGCAGTTTGTCTCAGGCAGGGCAAAGCTCTCAAATCCCCACTTTCCCCCCAACGGATACGCAAACCGAAATGCAGCCGCCTTTCGAAATGCACCCTTCTCTGAATTTTGCAATGCCATTTTTTCATGCCAGGTTGTATGTGCAGAAATGAACTTGCTAGGGTAAAGCGTGCATACAAATGCATACGCTGCTGGAAAAATAACATACAAAAATGCATCGTGCTGAAGGGGTGGAACCGCTTTGTAAAATTGTGTGCATTGTGCAGGATTGCATGCAGAATATTCAGGAAAGTTGACAATGGGTTCTCATGAAGAAAGCAGCTTAATCGAAATGGGCAGTTTTCATCGTCTGTAGAGAGGCAGGGACGGGCGCAAAACGTCCATTAAAAAGAGTGTGCCTCCCAAGAAAAGACATCACCTGTTGGGTTGCTGCCTCACAAGCACAGCTATTAAAAGTGCAGGTACATTGCTAAGTGCCTCCAGTAGAGAGAATCAGCTGGAGAATCAGATTCCATTACTATTATTATTATTATTATTACTACTAGTAGTAGTAATAATAATAATAATAATAATAATAATAATAATAATAATAATATATTTATACCCCGTCCGTCTGGCTGGTTTTCCCCAGCCACTCTGGGTGGCTCCCAACAGAATATTAAAAACACAATCAAGCACCAAACATTAAAAACTTCCCTAAACAGGGCTGCCTTGAGTTGTCTTCTAAAAGTCAGATAGTTGTTTATTTCCTTGACATCTTACGGGAGGGTGTTCCACAGGGCAGATGCCACTACCAAGAAGGCCCTCTGCCCGGTTCCCTGTAACCTCACTTCTCGCAGGGAGGGAACCACCAGAAGGCCATTGGAGCTGGACCTCAGTGTCTGGGCTGAATGATGGGGGTGGAGACGCTCCTTCAGGTATACTGGACTGAGGCCCTTTAGGGCTTTGAAAGTCAGAACCAACACTTTGAATTGTGCTTGGAAACGTACAGGGAGCCAATATAGGTCTTTTAGGACTGGTGTTATATGGTCTCCAGGCGTTCTGTGCGGCGGCTGCATCCAATGGGCATACTCCTCAGAGCAGACCTTTTGAAATTAATGAGCATACTGTTAACTAGGTTCATTCATTTCAATAGGTCTGCTCTGAGTAAGACTGGCATTGAGCCCAGCACAACCTCCCCTTTCACCTACAAGCTGGGAAGTAGTTTCGGACAAAGCATAGTACTGGTCCTTGGCCACCGGGGGTGGGGCACAGAGCACCTTTCCTATTCCCCGATCCATGGACAAATCACCTTTGTCAGCCTGAAGACCATGGGAGCAACGTTCCTGGGTCACATGTCCACAGGGGGTGTGGCCAGAGGGAAACATGGGTGGGGACTTTTTTTCTTCCTCCCTTCAGGTCTGCAAAAGCCAGAAGTTTTCTACACATGTGCTGCCTCCTTGCAAGGGAAGCAAGAGGCATTCTTGCAGCCCAAGGACACATTCTGACCAGAGATCCCCGAACTTATGATGTCTATTGGCCCCTTTTCAGAAAAATAAAATAAAATACTCAGCACCCACCTAGAAATCTACCTTCTTTCAGTGAACAAACAGAAAGATGCAGTGACAAATCTGCCTTCTTTTATGCATCTGTATTTCTGCCTACAAAAGGACGCGGGTGGCGCTGTGGTCTAAACCGCAGAGCCTAGGGCTTGCCGATCAGAAGGTCAGCGGTTCAAATCCCCGCAACGGGATGAGCTCCCGTTGCTCAGTCCCTGCTCCTGCCAACCTAGCAGTTTGAAAGCATGTCAAAGTGCAAGTAGATAAATAGGTACCGCTCTGGCGGGAAGGTAAACGTCCTCGATCAGAAGGTCAGCGGTTCGAATCCCCGCAACGGGATGAGCTCCCGTTGCTCAGTCCCTGCTCCTGCCAACCTAGCAGTTCGAAAGCACGTCAAAGTGCAAGTAGATAAATAGGTACCGCTCTGGCGGGAAGGTAAACGGCGTTTCCGTGCGCTGCTCTGGTTCGCCAGAAGCGGCTTAGTCATGCTGGCCACATGACCCGGAAGCTGTACGCCGGCTCCCTCGGCTAATAAAGTGAGATGAGCGCCGCTACCCCAGAGTCATACGCGGCTGGACCTAATGGTCAGGGGTCCCTTTACCTTTACCTTTATTTCTGCCTACAACATAGTAAAGAAAGGTGTTGTTCCGAATAAGGGCACCTTGAAGCTTGACGTTTCAAAATTATCTGTTGAACTCAACCGCAGTAACATCCGTGTTGCAGACAGAAAATTAAGATAGCGGATCGGTTCCAACTTGCGTTTTGTAAGTTTATTTGGAAAATAAAGACATCACAACTTTATGTCACCCGGGGAAGCACCATTACACAACAGATGAAACATGTACAAACGGTTTTGCAAAATTCTCTTTGCTTCCTTATTTTTATTCAATGCCTCCCCCCCCCCGCCGCCCGATTGCACCTGAAGCTACTACCGCCCCCACCCCTGGATCATTCCAGTCCCCCTCCCCCCAGAGGGTGATATCACCCACTTTGGGATAAGACTGTCCTAGTCAATCAAAATGACCCCAAGAAAGGCTGGTGGTTGTGGCAGGATGGGGGAATTCCTGAGAGCCAGACAGAGAAGGCCTGGATCCATCGTCCCTCAGCCTACTCTAATTCAACCTGTCTCTAAGTCTAAAGGTGTTTCCCCAATACAAATTTTAGACTGTGTGTTGCTTGAGGTGGAGATCTGCCCTTTCACATCCACACCAGGTATTTAAAGCACATGGCTCACCCCCCCCCCCAAAAAAAAACCCATGGAAACTGTAGTTTACTGGGATTGTAGCCCTGTGGCAAGTAAACTAGAGTTCCCAGGATGCCTTGGGAGAAGCCAGTTGCTTTAAATTGCATGATGTGACTACACACAAAGACCATTATAGACGTGGTAGTATTTGAATCCTAGTTCCTTGTATTTTAACAATGGGTAAATTTTATTTTTAAACAGTGTGCGTCTTTTTACTTTTTTCAAAAGCTAACGTTAATCTGGTGCTTTCCATACGATCACAGCACTCCCCCAGGAAATTTCAATATTTTATTTATCCATTTTTCATCATTGCAATTTCACATTTCATTGAACGCAACCACCCCATCATTGACTCCCCTTCCCCCGATTCCATGGTTCTATTTATATATCCAGTAAAACTGCATGTTCTAATTTCCTCTTTTCCAAGTTTCTCTTCCCCCTCTAACTTTAATACTTTAAACTGCTGAATTTATGCTAATAGTGATGATTATTTAATCTTATTTACATAATTCTTCAGATACTCTGCAAACGCTTTCCGCTCTACCTTAAATACTCCATCTTCCTGATTCCTTACTCTGTTATTTTAAATTTGCCAATTCTGCATATTCCATTAATTTCACCTGTCATTCCTCCTTTGTTGTTCTCTCTTTCCATTTCTGAGCATATACCATTCGGGCAGCTGTAACTGTGTAGAAAAACCAAGTTATTTTGATCTGTGGAGACTTCCATTCCTAATATTCCTAATAAGAAGGTTTCTGGTCTTTTTATTAACACCTTCTTAAACATTTTTCCCCCATTATATATCATCTCCCAGAATTCCTTCACATTTTCACATGTCCACCACATATAATAAAAAATTTACCCTCTATTTCTTGACACTTCCAGCAAGTACCCGGCTCTGATTTACACATTTCTTTTCTAATTTCCCCAGTAAATTTCAGGGAAAGCACTTCAGTTACTTTACCCTGAGAGTGTCCCGGAGATTTTGTAATATCTGCTTTACTTTTGACTGCACAGGAAGAGCACGCTTCAACCAAACTCTTTTAAGATTACCTGGGGGAAAACCCTGGTAGATTCCACAGCCGTTGCTTAAATCAGCCGCTAGGTGTCGCCATAGCTATCTCCAATCAAAACGTAGGCATAGAAGGGTTGCCACCTTCCTTTCCTAGCCATTGCTTCTCTGCCTTTAACAGCAGCCAGGTAACCAAAACCATCAAGGGTCTAGACTCTGGAGCAACTCCCCTGTTGCAAGACAACAATTCAAAATGTGTGTGCTTTACATTTGTGGGCATCTCTTGATGCTGTGGTAGGCATCAGATACGAGGTGCCAAGAAAACCCATTGAAAATCATGGAAATGAAGAGTTGGAAGGGGGACCCTAAAGATCCTCTAGTCTAGCCCCCCTGCAATGCAGCAATATGCAGCTATCCCAGGCAGGGATCGAACCTGCAGCCTTTTTAAAAAATTATTTATACTTTTCAATTTTTATACATTTCATTAGTTTTACAATCAATTTAACTTTTCAAAGTTTGACTTCCTTCCCCCTCTTCCTGCAGTTCCTTAAATTGATTTTTTAAATATATTCTGCATATCCAGATTCATTTAATTATCTATTTTAAATATATGCTCTTATGAAACTGCAGGTTATTACGATAATCCTGCCAATGTTTTCATCTGCTTGCAATTTGTCTGTAAATATTCAACAAACCATTTCCATTCTTTCCTAAAGAGTTTGTTATCTTGATTTCTTATTCTTCCGGTAAGTTTCGCCATTTCTGCATATTCCATGAGTTTTTGTGTCCATTCTTCCTTTGCTGCGACTTCTTCTTCTTTCCACTTTGGGGCAAGTAGCATTCTTGCTGCTGTAAAGGTAAAGGTAAAGGTAAAGGTACCCCTGCCCGTACGGGCCAGTCGTGTCCGACTCTGGGGTTGCGCGCCCATCTCGCTTAAGAGGCCGGGGGCCAGCGCTGTCCGAAGACACTTCCGGGTCACGTGGCCAGTGTGACGAAGCTGCTCTGGCGAGCCAGCACCAGC